TTATCCTAGTCTTAAGATTCGGGTCATATGTTTTGTGGTTTAACTTGGGTAGATTTATGTTATTTTATTATCTTATTTTTAAATTAATTTTTTTTTAATTTCATCATTCAATAATGAATTTACACACACACACACACTAAGCTGGGAGCAAATGCCATAAATCATGTCATGATTTATATCTTAAATTAAGCCTTTATCATGTGCTAAGTGGGTGATTATTTATTCCCATTAGTATATGGTGGAGGTGGGGCATTATTTGTCTTCATTTTACTAACAATATCCCACTTGAAGATAAACAATAAAATTAGCTTTTATCCCTAAAGACCAATTAAAGTTTTACACAACTTTAGCTTATCAAGTGTAACTCCTTTGGTTAATGTGTTAGCTGAATTCTAGCTTTTACAACCATTTTCTAGCATTAGTTGCTCATCATCTAATAATTATCGAATGAAGTGATATTTGATCTGAATGTGCTTGGTCCTAGAGTGAAATGCTGGATTCTTGGCAAGGAAGATTGCACTCTGATTGTCACTATACAGAGTACCCTTTTTATCCATCTTGCCTAATTCTTTTAGGAAACTCTATAACTATATTATCTCTTTTGCAAATACTGGGACTACAACATATTTAGCTTCTATTGTTGAAAAAGCAAAGATCTTTTGCAAGGTAGAACTCTAGGAAACAGCAGTGCCTCCTAGAGTATATACATATCATATGGTGCTCTTTGTGCTATCAATATTTCCTACTAGATCAGTATCTACAAAACCTTCAAGTTTCAAACCACTAGTTGTGAAGGTAAAACAAGTCTTCAAAGAACCTTATAATATCTCATGATCCATTTTACCACCTCCCAATACTGCTTTCCAGGATTGCTCATATATCAGCTTACAACTTCCACTATATGGGCAATGTCTGGTCTAGTAAAGAGATCATAACATACATTAAAGAGCTGATAGCTGAGGCATATGGAATCTTATCTATGTATCCATATTCTAGCTCAGTTTTTTGGCGACTGGTCTTTGCTGAGCTTGAAATGATTTCCCAGAGGTGTACTTACTGGTTTAGTATTATCCATATTAAACCTGTTGAGAACCTTCTTAACATACTCTATTTATGAAAGCTTTAGTATGTCTTTGTCTTTATCTCTGATGATTCTTATGCTAAGTATTTGTTTAGTAGCTCCCAAATCGTCCTGTTTTGACAACTACTGTTTCAACTTGTTAATCTCTTCAATGCTGAATCATGTAATCAATATATCATCTAAATATAATAGTAGAATGATGTAGGAGTTGTCAAAATATTTAACATAGCAAAAATGATCAGCTTGATATCTTATGTGCCCCAAACTACACATGAAGTTGTAAAACTTCTTATACCACTGTCTTGGAGCTTGCTTCAAACGTATAAGCTTTTCTTTAACTTGTAGACTTGGTTCTCCTTTCCTTATATTGCAAACCCCTCTAGTTGTTGCATATAATATCTTCCTCCAAATCACCATGAAAAAATATTGTTTTTACATCTACTTGTTCAAGATATAAATTTTCTGCAGATACTATCCCCAGAATAATTCTGATTGTAATAAGCTTCATAACTGGAAAAAATATCTCAGAGCAGTCAATCCCTTTATTTTGTTGAAACCTTTTTACAACAAGTCTTGCCTTGAACTGTTTGCTTCCATCATTCTCAGTTTTTACTCTGTAAACCCACTTATTTTGCAAAGCTTTCTTTCCTTCAGGTAGTGTGCTTAGCTCCCAAGTCTTGTTCTTCAACAAAGAATCCATCTCATCCTTTATGGCTAACTTTTACCTGCTTGAGTTTTTATTTTATAATAATTATTTATAAGTTTGGGATTCATCATCATCTGTTAATAAAATATAATTCAGTAAAACTGTGAACCGTTATGAGGGCTTTACAGTCCTTAAAGACTTGCGAACATAAATAATAGTTCACTTGGCTCCGCATCTTTCTATGTAGTAGTAGGTACAGATGTGCTTAAATTTTCTTGTAAATACTCTTGATTTTTGTTATGCTCGGTAACATGAGGAAGCCCTTGTAATCTTATGAATTCAGATTTTTATAGACTTGTATCTGAATCAGCCATATCTATTTTTACACTTGATTTGTCTTTATACAAAACTTTCTCATAAAGATCACGTTCTTGCTTCTGATAATCTTTCTACTCTGATCATCCAAAACTGAAATCCAAATTCTTCATCTTCATAGCCAATGAAAAAACATTTCTTGGATTTGACATCTAGCTTGTTGTGAGCATCAGAATCTATATAAACACAAAAAATACACCCAAAGATCTTTAAATGAGAGATTTTTATTTCTTTTCCTTTTTATACTTCCTCAGGCAATCCAAATTCCAAAGAAATTGATAGTCCATGATTGATCAAGTAAACTGTAATATGAACTATGTCAGCCTAAAATGTTTGAGGTAACCCTAAATGCAACCTTATGCTTCTAGCTTGTTCATTGATGGTCATGTTCATCCGTTCAGCAATGTCATTCTGTTGTGGTGTGCCTGGAATGGTCCTTTCCATTCTGATACCATTGACAACGCAATACTCTTTAAAACCTCTATTGATTAGTACTTAAAAGTGTATTTTTATCAAGGTTTTATATCATCATTTTGCACTTGAAGTATCAATAACTCCTTAACTAAAACATGTTTTATAAGAATGTATCTAATAATATAAGATAACTATAATTTATGGTAAATGTCTATTTTTAATGCAGGCCTATCACATAAATGAAAGGATTGATTGATGACTTGAAGAACTTAAATTGCAAGGATAAAGAGATGGCCAAACTATTTAGGCATCTTGGTTTCTAGATTAAGATCATGCTCTTCCTTTCTCTCTTTGTATTTTTTATGCTTTGTTTTCATTAATATTAAGTTTATGCCTTTCATTTCCTTTCCTTTACTTAGTTAACTTTTATGTTCTTATTTTGTTTATCTATTTTGCTTTCTTTCATTATGTCTAGCTAAGTTAGTTATGTCAAGGTGAAAAGGTTACACTAATGGTGTAAGAATAAGTATAGTGTAAACTTAATATGGACTTTAATGTTTGATACTAACATGTTTTATATTTGTTATCTTGTTCACTCTTTAATACTTTGCTTGTTAAATGATTAATCTTGATTTATGTTGTATAACATTTGGTACAACAAATGCTTGGCACTTTCATAGCCCATACTGTATGGTATAACCGACACCTGAGCTATGAAAGGAACTTGATTTGTTGTTAACATAAGTTATAATCATGGATGCTTGACGAGATTTACAAGTATTAGCATTAATTGAATAAGATGACTAATGTAATCATGTTAACAATATATAATCTGTTGGAACCTCCTTTGTGTGTGGTTTCTAATTGAATAATAAGAGTTTATACTATACTTGTTTGATATACCATTAGTGGAACCTCTAACCTTGACATTTGTTATTATTATTGTTTAATCCTTACGTTAATATTCCATCTCAAAGTTCTCATCTTCTTCTTCTTCTTTTTCTTTATTACTACTACTACTACTATTATTATTATTATTATTGCTACTAATATTATTGTTGTTATTGTTGTTACTGTTGTTGTTTATAATTGTTTATAATTTGTACAATTAACCTTCCTGTGGTTCGACCCCGGTCTTGCTGGGTTATTTATTACTTCGACACTCCTGCACTTGGGAGAAGACATCAATCTTTTAATCATGTCATCTATCAATGTATTCTTCTCCATTATCAGATCTCAAGCATTTCAGCTTTAAACCTGATTCAGTCTTAACCATAACCTTTTATTTTTTGAATGTTTCAAACATTTCAAACAAAGAAAGATGAAGTTTTTTTCCATATAGATAGTTTTCAATTTGCATTTTTCAATATCCAAAATTTGTTCCATCAAATTTTTCAATTCCAGCAACCTTTATTTCATCTGCTATTTTCACTAACTTTAGAGTTAGAATTTGCTAAATCTGACTCCACGGTTGTGTTTGGAATGGCTAAAAATGTTAAAAACAACTTTGAAATCACCAAAATTGGACTTTAGATGGCTCAGATATGATTAATCAAAATTTTAAAGCAATGAATGATGCAAATAAAGTCGTGTGTCAGTTGAAACAGTGTCTGTAGTGTATTGGATCAAAACTCAATATAATGACTTGACTTGATGACAGACACATAAGCAAGACAGGTCCATGACTGATAACATGACAGATCCACATGGAATTTTAACTAACGTGGATTGATAACTTGGCAGATGCCATGGCGGATGACTATGCAGAATTGCTGCTAACTGGCTGATGATGTAGCAGGTCAACCCGGTTCAATTGTAGGTATTCGAGTGAAGAAGGAGCATGCGACACTTGTGGCGAGTGTGGTGTGTTTGTGTGGGTGAGTAGCCCTGACGATGGCGCGTGCAAGCATGCAACACGTCGATTCTTTGTCGGACTTTCACCAGTGGATTTTTCTCGTTATCCCTTACAAGATGGTATGTTCAAAAACACATTTTGAGAACTTTGATTTCTGGATTTGGATTAAACAACCTCTTTTTCAAAAACAAGCTTTGATACCAGTTGTTGGAACACTCCAAAAATCAAACACACATAAATTTATGTGGTTCGGTAACTTGCCTACTTCACGGAGCTACTGGTTTGTATTAATCAATCAAAGAAACAATACAAATAAAGAAGAGGAGAAAAATTCTTCTCTACTAAACTCACTATTACTCAAGTTCTCTCAATTTTCTTCTCTTTGTTTACAACCACACATAGCTCTTTATTTAATGTGTGTGTATACTCAATTAGAGGTAAAAGACATAAATCATGTCATGATTTATACCTTGTATTAAGCTTCTATTATATCCTAAATGAAAGATTAGTTATTTTCACTAAAATATAATAAGTTGAAGCATTGTAACACGAACACCATTGACTTTTAAGGGATTAGCAAAAAACGCACATGTCAAGTGATCTTCCAAGTACAAGGCTGCACAGAGAGAGAATTTCGTATATTAAATTTACAGTTCCTCTATTTACCTTGTGCAGAAGTGAGTATTGAAAAGGAATACCAGCGTATTGATCCAATCTGCGTAATGGATGAACCATTAAACCCACGCTCAGTTTCATGCTGAACAACCCAAATAGCAAAACCAGTGAAGACTGTAATGGCTGCCATTAAAAACCACAGCTCTTTAGCATAGACCTTCAAGAACCACCAATGATGGCGTGACATGTCAGACTTCATCGCCACGAGCATCACGAGACCTGATTCGACATGTGGCTGTGAGAACTCTATAGGCTGGTCTCTGCTTGCTGTTATTACAATATCTCCAACGGCTGCATCAAAAGCCTATCACAGGAAATAAACATTATCAGTGATTAAAAATATTTTGTCTTATAATAAGAAATAAAAAGAATACCAGTGGGGTGACATCTAAAACTCTAGGTTTCTAGTTATAACATCAAGATGGAGCTGAAAGCTGGTTTGGAAAAAAATATGAGCTAAGCTACACAGGTTCCCACAAACGGCCTCAGGGCAACTCCTGGTCAATTTTTTCTAGCAACCATAGAGTGAAGACAATAAAAAGCTTACCTTTTGAGAAACCTTCATTACCATGTCATCGTAAGAACCATGAAAAGGAACAATTTCATACATCAAAGCGTAGCGTAGACACTTCACAGCAGCTTCAAATACGCCAACTGAAATCCTGTTATATATGTTATGTTTGGGATCTCATCATGGCTTACTCTTACAAAATGCTTGGATATTGATTTAGCTGGTACCGCAATCCTCAGCTGCTTCCTCTATCCTCAAGAAGATTGGATTCTGATAATCCAGTTGGGACAGAAGTTTTGCCTTCTGGCCAGTATACTGGATTTAGAACTTCTTCACCAGACTGACTTTCATCCTTTCCACTATAATTCTTGACAAGATTGTGGTGAAGCCAAACTCCGGTGACCAAAATCCAAGCTCTCTGTAGCTTTTACCAACTATATTAACAATCTGAAAGTTAGGTACGTATGTTAGCCTATAGCTTGTAAAGTGTATCCTACTGCTTACGCCTTCAAAATCACTTGATAAGATATGTTTAAGGTTTTTGAATAATTTTTCTCATGTAACATTTTAGAAGACTTTGCAACGGTCCAAATTGCATCATAACCTCGAAGAGCGAATGTACTTGGTTGAGAGTCCCTATCTTCCGGATATTCACCTCTAAACTTCCTCTCGAACTTGACTTCAAAATCTTTGAATGATGCGGTGGTATCTAAATAGCAGGCCTTGCAACCAAGCACGCTTTGCATGGAGGTCATCATGGATGAGTTAACAGAATCGAGAAGACCAGTGATGCTAGTAGCAGCAATCCACACATACCCTCTCCTCATTATTCCCATTTTCTTAGCATTTTCAAACAGTAAACTTGCTAAAGTTAATGAAGATTGAAGTAGTATAAAGACCCTGCTTTGTTTACCCTTCAGTTTATTTAACTCGTTCTGAATCGTAGTGTTCTGGTCTAAAAGAGAAGACAGTGTCGGGAAGGCGGAGTAGTGTTCCAGTTGAACACCGCTATCTTGTAGTGAAGCTGACAGAAGAGTGATAATGCCTAAATCACTATTGTAGGAATATCTATCTTCATATATAGCAATCACCATTGGCCACTTGAAGGATGCAATGATAGAAGCAATGCATTCGATCTGCACAGATATATCTTGGTACATGCTAATTACTGGAAGTTCTTTATCTGGAACTATCAGAGATAATCCTGTGGTTCAGGAAATGATAGGTCGTTCAATGGTAATGTTAACCATTTCAGCAACTAATGCAGCCTGATGCCATGCTATGGAACCAACAATCGCTACCAATTTTTGGTTTTGGATGAGATCAATTGCTGCATTTAACGTCAAACAATTATCAACTTCTAGCTCCCAGTCAAAACACTCGTTCGGCTAACACATGATTAGCTAAGCAGCATATGAAGACTACATGAAATGAGACTACTGATTCTCTATTCTTCTAAGCTTGGAATTGAAACTAATGAAGCTTTTAAAATTACTAGATTAAAAGCTACAGTAGAAATGATTCCAAATAGGATACAGATGTTAAATTTCTTGTAATCTGCAGCCACGAACAAGGAATGAACAACCACACGGATTTATTTCAAATTCAAAGCAGCGACAAGAGATGTGTCAGGCAGTTTCTTCAGAGAAGAATAAAGTTCATCACTTGAGAATTAAAATTTGAAGTGTCATAAAGTTACTCACAAATTGAACAAAGATCCAGAATGCAAAACAATAAACATACCTGCAAAAGCAGCTCGGGCGGAGTTCTCAGGCAAATCCAGAACATGTAGAGCCAAATTATTGCCAGTCAAATCTATAAATGTCTTGTACAGCAATATCCATGGCTATTTTCTCTACCCTACCAATAATGCTAATGAACTCATTGCCTTCATCATTCAGCTGACCTGAATTTGATGATATGAACATTATTGATAATAAAAGGAGCGAATAAAGAAAAACTAGAAAACCAGCCATTGTTCTTCCTAAAGGGAAAAAAAGAAATTCGAGTACTCATATAAGAACGTTTAATGGGAGACGCTGGAGGAGTTTGGTATATATTTTAAATAATGGCTGCAGCTTTTGTTTACTTTTTGTGGTCAACATCTTGGTAGTGTGTACTTCCTAGCAAGATCCTAGAAAAGTCAGAAGAAGCTAATAAGGTGATGGTTTTGTATCTTCGGATGATTCAGTAGAAATTTACCAGCTTTGTTTTCTTAGCTAATCATGCTTTTTGACCGGCCATTTTTCTTTATTATCCTTCTGCTACTTAATTACACTCACCAAATGCCCTGTAATCAGCCTTTTGACCCATACAATTGATACTCTAATTAAAACCGCAGAAAAGAAGTGCTCTCCTTGTTCTTGCCTTGGATCTGGAATGCAGTCATAGAAGAACTAGCGAAGCTTATACCTTGCGGCCGTGTTTCCTATAGCAAGGAATCAGTGATGCATCTGTTTCGTGTAACTATAAGAACTGATCTCTTAGGACACTACTTTGTATGCTTGACATGATGGTAGTTAGTGTCATCTACATTGATTAACAGTTATAAGAATGGTTCCTTGGAAATTATGAGTATATATACAGGATACATTTTGTTTAAACATTTATATGATAATGCACAAACACTGCATTTTACTTACATGACATGTCTCTTTGCGCTATCTTATCATCTGTTTGAGGAACGGAGATTCTTTCCACCTTTGTTTCAATAGACGGATAACTGTTATTAGCAATGCAATTGCAGAAGCACCACCTGAGATAATGAACAAACCTAGAAAGGGTCCTGGTCCTAAACTTTGGATAGCATCGGCATCAGGAGTTGAAGGTGAGCAGTGGGTGTAGTAGAGCATTTCTTCCTCTAGTAGCTGAAGTTCTCGACTCTCACTTAATCTTAAAATTGCCTTCTGAAACACCCGAGAACAAAACAAGAAAATAGAAGAACAAAAGGAAAAATGTTAGATTTAGATAGAATATCGTCTTCTTAGACTAACAAGCAAGGACAAGGAACAAGGTAATTCAATATAGAAAGATTACAAACAAAAAATGGTAAAGTTTGAATTGGATTACAAAGCGCAAGAGGTTTCAGAATGAAAGCAGCTTTAATATGCCCACTTGATAGAGCCTTTGCATATTCATCAAATGAAGATATATTCCAAACATTCTCCGGCCTGAAGTTCAAAACTTTCACTAAATAATGGGCGAAAATGGAACTTCCATCACAAGCAACAGCTTGTTAGAACTCATGAGAGTTTGCCTTTAAAATTTGAAGAAGTCTTAGTTAGACTTAGTCTCTGTTATTGTTTCATATCAGATTCTTGCTCCATAATTTTCTGTTTTCAGTTGGCAGAAAGTAGTGCTAATAAAATCTGATAGTAGTTCGAGAGTTTTTAGTAATTTCAGTTTAGTTGTAAGCCTATAAATAGGTATTCTCATTTGTGAAATCACTGAAATGTACTCTGCCTTTCTTCAACTCTTAAGTCTCAAATTATCTATTTATCCCTGCAAGTTTGGTTCTAGTCTTTTATTTTCTGCAGATCTAATGGTGGTATCATAGCTAACTTCCTACGGGCTGTGAGGCAAAGCTTTTTAGTGTTTGAGTGCTAAACACAGTTAGGTTGAGTGATTTATTTTTTAGGCAGCTGCGGTGCAAACATTTCTACTTCTAGCATTACTTCATCTATAAAGAGAGTTATTAGTAATATACCATGACTACATCCTGAAATATACTACATTTTATTGACCAATATTAAAATAATAAAACATGCTAAATTGCTATAATAAATCTTTTAATATCATCTAAATTATCCCTACACAATACACATTAATCATGCCACCTCATGAACTACAAATAACTAATATAGAGGTTACCTCATTCATGTATATATACATCCTGATAATAAAATATATTAGATTTTATTGACCAATATTAAAATAATAAAACATGTTAAATTGCTGTAATGAATCTTTCAATGCCATCTAAATTATTCCTACACAATACACATTAATCCTGCCACCTCATGAACTACAAATAACTAATATAGAGGTTATCTCATTCATATATATAGCTATAATTCGTCAAGATATGGAAGATTATCGTCAAAGTTGACTATGATATGATGATGGATAAATTAACAGCTAGTTCAATCAAATTATTTTAGGCCAACTATCAATTTCCTTGTGAGACACAATGTCTATAAACTATAGAATTAGAAAATGATTCTAGGTGGAAAATGAGTGCTTACTCCAATCAAAAGAAGTGAGCATTGGCTTTAAAAACTCTCTGGGAGAGGCTAGCCTCACACACGAATACAAGAAGATAACAAACAACTATGGAAAGGTGTGATTATAGTGTGGATTTGTGGTAGTGTAGAGTTAGTATATCTGGGATTATTTTTTTATCATTTTTTATATATTAATTAATTTTTTTTAATGTGATTATGATTTTAGTAGTGATATACGTATTACAAATCAATAGAACAAATATTTCAAAATTAAAAATATATATTTGTAATTAAAATGACTATATATATATATATTAACGGTCATTAAGACATGAAAGATTATCGTCAAGGTTGACTGTGATATAATAATGAATAAGTTAACAACTAGTTCAATCAAGCTATTTTAGGTCAACTGTCAATTTCCTTTTGAGACATAATGTTTATACGCTCTAAGATTAGAAAATGATTCTGGGTGGGAAGTCAGTGCCCACTCCAATCAAAAGGAGTGAGCATTGGCTTTGAAGACTCCCTAGTAGAGGCTAGCCTCACACAGGAATACAATAAGATAACAAACAACTACGGGAAGGTGTGATTATGGTGTGGATTTGTGATAGTGTAGAGTTAGTATATCTGGAATCATTTTTTTATCATTTTTTATATATTAATTAATGTTTTTTAATGGGATTATGATTCTAGTAGTGGTATACATGTTACAAATCAATGGAACAAATATTTCAGCATTAAAAATATATATTTGTAATTAAAATGACTAAATTTAATAATAATTTTATTACATATAAAATATAACATAAGCGAATGTAGTTGAAAAAACAATTAATGAGAGAATGTAGTTGACAGTAAAAATAAAAAAGAGTTATTATTATTATCATTCAATGTATCTAGATTTTTTGTAATTCCAAAATTAATAAAAAAATTTAAGTTGTATTGATAAACCTGGAGGAGCAATATGCATGATCCAAATATTTGATAACTCCAAATACAAATAAGTAATGTGATGTGATGATGGGTTCAACAATCTAAAATTAAAAAAAAAAATGAGTAAGAATAATAGTGTTAAGAAATATGTTATATAATCATTTTCTTTTCTTGAAATGAAGCTTTTAAGCCCATACTTAAGCAGGTAAATAAACATCTAGCTATTTTAGGTATCATATAATGGGTTATTCTATATATTGAAAAACAAACTGAAAATTTTATCATAAACTAATTAAAAATATGTTAACTCTATTGAAAGTACCAAACATAGATCTAGAAATTTAATACTAGAAAGGATGAAAATCACTTAAAGGGCTATCAAAAAATCATAAATGCATAAGTTTCTTTGAATTTCTTGATCATTTAAACCTTTTTGTGTTTGAAAAAATACAAATATTTATCATCAATCCCTTCTTTACCATAATGGGTTGGCAGCTAACGATTTTAACAATGTCTGTAAGCCTACACTTCTTTATTACATGTAATTGTACAATTAAATTCCTAATTTCCTTTATTTCCACAACATTCTTTATGCTCTATTTTGCATGTTTTGTTCAACATAAAGCTTAACCCCCCTCTATTTATATTTTTTTTTTTTCATACCTCACCCAATAAATAAATTTAAAATGAAATATATTACATTAATAATTAAAAATATTAGCATGTGATGACAACCATATTTAATAAATAATTTGCAAAAAATCAAACAAATTTATTACTCTCATCAATAAAATTAGTTAATAAAACAAAATACATTATCTCTAAATTAAAAATAAAATCTCTCAAATATAGGTTTCTAATTATACTTGTCTTAATTGTACCATGTTCCTTACAAGTGGATTCTTAGGAGCACAGCACGATTCTTTGTAGGTGGGAGCAAAACACAGTTCTTTGTAAGTGGATTCTTAAAAGCACAACACAGGAGAAGTTAAAGAAAGCAAAAGTGGGGTTATTAAAAAAAGATGTTTTGGAATTACATGTTCATGGGGAATAATTTACGAGAAAGTGATAGAAGATGGGGTAAGTTTCTTGAAAAGGAAGAAAGGGACAAATGATAGGGTTAAGGTTTTTTATTTGGAGAATGAAAGTTGTCTAATTTTGAGTTAGAGTAATTGTCTCCTCCTGTGGAGGGTTTTTTTTTCTGTTTATATACCTATACCAATTAATTATTGACACATTGTTATTTTTGTTGTTGTTGTTGTTATAAACGTCAAATTTTGTTCTTCACTTTATCAGCACAATAACTTTTTATTAGCATAATGATTGTAAACTGTGTGTCACCTTATTAGCAACGGATAATTCGTTGCAGATTTTTAATATATTAATTTATCTTTCAGGAATCGATTTTCTATTGTTACTATTAAAAAATTAATATATATGTAATTCGTTGTTAATTTGTTACTAAATTTGCATTTGAAATATTTCGTTGCTAATTTCCGATGCTATTGACCTTTTTTTTTAGTAGCGACACATCACATTTGGGCTATTAAAATGAGATTTTATCTAGGATCTCAAGGTTTGTAAAAAATTATGACATCTGAAACTGATCTATCATCATTGACAGCAAATCATATAATTATTGCTCAGATGAAAACATGTAAGGAGGAAAAGCTCAAGGAAGACAAAGCCATCACTTGCCTCCATTCAGGACTTGCAGACCATATCTTTACCAAAATTATGGACTTGGAAACACCAAAACAGGTATGAGATAAGCTTCAAGGTGAAATTAAGGGTAGTAATAGAGATAACTATCAGGCTTC